CATGAAGCTTGCTGATGTTCAGTGATCTGTGGCACCGTTGCTTTTCAGGGTTTGTGAATCTCACGTAAAGTTTGAGACGTTTGATTGATTTCAGCAAAGCCTCCACCAGCTTCCAATCAAAAATGCTTTATCTTTATATTTTACTTGAATAAACTAATTGAAATACTGTAGTTACACTACGTACTACTAGCCTATTACATTTCCAAAGTAAACTTCCCAACACTGTGTGAAACACAACAGTACAAAAAATAGTAATATTAATTTGTAAATGTATTCTTTTTTCATGCATTATTTCTCAGTCTCACATTTATTTTATTCACATTTAATAGCCTATATTAAGTAATGACATGTGAAAGACTATTATTAGGTTAAATAGTTGTATGGCCTTATATGGTTTTCGTAATACAAACTAAATTATAATTTTTTTTGTTTTAATGAAACAATCAAACATGTCTGGGTCATCTGGGACACAAAAGGCCGATTGTCCACCCTTTGACCACCAGATGGCGTTAGTGTTGAAAAGCCTTGAGTAATGAACCATTGGACGATAGTTGAAGGGAAAGCCTAAGTTTAATGAGGCGCCCCTCAGCCACACGTTTCCTAATTACTGATTATTAGATTGTATGAACAGCTGCACTACTTCCTGAACTTCAGACAGCTCCTTGTTTCCTGTCTTCCATTATTGGACAAACTTAATAAAGGTGTGTCTAACCTCAGTAGTCACAGCAACAATAATCAGACACACCTGGATTAATCAGTTTGTCCAATAATGGAAGACAGGAAACAAGGAGCTGGCTGAAGTTCAGGAAGAAGTGCAGCTGTGCATAAAGCGGTAGGTAGGCCTATAAAGCCTCTGGTTCACAGGGACGAAAACAACTAAATAAAAAGAAAGCCCAGTTATAAAGGTAAGTCTTCTCATCTCAGCCAGATTAAGGTGTCAAACGAGCCTACTAAATGTAGGCTACGTTGTGTTGTGCACAGGCAGCGTTAGGCCTACTGGCCATCGGGACTACCGGGAGATTGCCGCTGACCGACGTGCCGATACATCTCATAGCCTACTTTTATTTATTTTTTGTCTTAATGGCCTATTAAACTCGTACATCGGCAGCCCATTCGTTTTGTTTTGCTTAATTGGCGGAGGTGTGCAAGCGTGACTGACATTACGTGAGGTCGAACTTTTTTTTTTTTAACGTGCGAAAATTTCGGATGCGAATTTCGGACTCGGTGTGCAATGGCCTGTCCGAAATTCGCATCCGAAATTTTCGCACGTAAAAAAAAAAATTCGACCTCACGTTATGTCAGTCACGCTTGCACACCGCCTCCGAAACTTTCGTCGGTCATAAAATTAATCGGATCGGGTTCGATTTTCTGCGTTTTTCGCATCCAGAGCCAGCATTTTGAGAGGTCTTTTGACAATTCAGGGCCGGGGGAGCTCGTCCTCAAATCATTGCACATATGCGCCGTGCTTTCAGTTTCGGTTTTTAATTCGATCAAGTGTTTATGTTCTCTTCTCTATATTGGATTATGAAATTAATAAACCTCCCCGTTCAATCAGATTGAAATTTAGGATCGAATAAGGTGTGATTGAGCAGACTATTCGATAACTAATGTATTATTTGGGCACCGTATATAGGCTACACAATATACACAATAAATAACAGCCTAGCTGTTCTGTCTGCCCAGCGCTTCCACCGGGCCGCGCGCGGGTGTGTGTTTGTCCGTGTGTGTGTCAAGTCAAGTCACATTTATTTATATAGCGCTTTTCACAATACAGATTGTATCAAAGCAGCTTCACAGTGATAACATGTAAGTAGCACAACACAGATCAACAACATTGCTAAACACTAAATAAATAACCCCAACTGAGCAAGCTCAAAGCAAGCCAAAAGCAAGGCGACAGTGGCAAGGAACCAAACTCCATCAGATTGGATGGAGAAAAAACCATGGGAGAACCCAGGCTCAGTCGGGGGCCAGTTCTCCTCTGGCTTACATTCATATTGTTTAAATATAAATATTAAATATAAATATTGTTTAGTATTGTTGTGTGTGTCCATACCTGGTCCATTTCAGACACACTGCCAGTCTCCGTTCAGGATCGATTGGTTCACGGAAATTGGTGGTCTTGTTTTTAATATGTGGCTCCAGAATCGCTAGCAAAGCATCAAACTGTCCCACTGACATTCTGAGGTAAATTTTGAATCGCTCAGGATAAATTCGCAACTCCTTGATAAGGAACTCTCCTTCCTCTCGGCGCAATTTCACGATTGGATGGACGTAATATTTTCTCTTTCTTCTCTTTTCAATAAGAGAGAGGGCAAAAATCATCCTCACTGCTTGACGAATCCATTTGGTATTTTTGCGTTTTTCCCCGCAAAGGTTTAATAAATACGCAACGGACTCGGTGTGCAAGGTTTCTATGTTAGGCTGACGAACACGAAAATACGCATACGAATATTTCGTGCTCAGTGTGCAATGGCCTTTAGCCTTTTAGTAGCCAAATAGATTAATAATAGTAGTGGTGGTAGTAGGCCCTAATTGTGATTTATCTACTACAAATTACATGGTCAGATTTGTACAATGCAACTGATGAAAGAAATATCGTTGAACGTTATTAGTAGCATTTGATCCTTCAACTTGTTGAAGTTTTGGAGTGATTAGGGAGGAGCAGGCGGTACAAATCAATCTCGCCGAGGGCAACCAAAGGGCTCGAGTGGCCCCTGGCTCTGGTCAGATGGGTTCTCAAACGGACTGATTTTGATTGCCGTTTCCTTTGGACTCCAGTTCCCAGAGTTCATAGCGCTTTCAGAACGCGGAAGTTCCGCCGTGGTGGTTCATCGAGACTTCTGTAGCTGCTGCTAAAAATGTGGTAAAACTTCGACAAAAACATTACAATTCACACATCTAATTCAATTTAAGGTTTCTTTAACGTCGAATCGTCAGAAAGGCTAATCTCTGTCAGTTCCTGTATTTAATCCGTATTGATTGTTGTGTTGACATTTAGCTCGTGCTGTCGTGTTTTGTTTTACTACAGAAACAAAAACTTGTTAAAATGAATGTCTCTATACGGAATATTCACGAAAATTGACCAACAACAGTGAATTGATTGCTCATACAATAAAAACTACATAAAATGGCTTATTCATTGATAACATTCTTGTCTTTGACGATGATAATCTCGTTTATTTCAAATATTTATACATCTATGTATTTGTGTAGTCTTATTCCTTGATGGGATAAAGTGTAATTTATGTAATATCTGATCAAATCCCAGCTTTCAAATGACCGCATGTAACAATAGACGGCATCAAATATTTATTGTAACCTACTTAAATGTTTCTGACCGTCAGTGATGGTCATCTGAACATGTTTATGATTGATACGGTTATGATCTGATCGAAGAATCTATTTCTCAGTTTAAACAAATCACTGCACTGTGAATCTTGAACGAAGAATTGTCTCTGCATTTGTTTGTGTGTGTGTGAGAGAGAGAGAGAGAGAGAGAGAGAGAGAGAGAGAGAGAGAGAGAGAGTGTGTGTGTGTGTCGGAGTGCCAAGTCATCTTTATTTATATAGTGCTGTTAACAATGTAGATTGTTCCAAAGCTGCTTTACAGAGATAACAGGAGATTACAGAACGTTATTAGTAGCATTTTAAATCAGTTTAAAGTTACAGGGACCGTGCACATTAATAAACGCTTGCGTAAATGTGCCAGTTTAGCCATCTTGGCTAATTTTTAACTGTAGTCACTGGGCAGATGTAATAACCGATAAAATACATTTAGACAATCGACAATACTTATACATACATTAAAACAAATTACATAAAAGCTCATAAAATACATTCAACAAGAACAGATCAAAGCATGTTTTAAAAAGCTGCAGAATATGGGTACACGCTTGATGGTCTTTTAACCATGATTTTAATTTAATCTTAAATAGCCCATATGAAACGATGTCTTTAATAGACGTAGGTAAACTGTTCCAAGTGTGAGCTGCTCTCACAGAAAAAGCTGACTGATCAAAGGCAGTTCTTCTCATTTGTATTACACAATCCCCTCTTGTTACAGACCTTGTATGTCTAATAACAGTAGTTTTTTTGTTTTAGTGGTGGGGGAGCTAAGCCATGGCATGATCATATCGTTCAAATATATTGTCGCTGCCTTTGTAGTCAGACAATTTCTTATATGACGGAAATTTGACATGTTAAATTTTACTATATTTATAACTTTTGTTAATTTGTTTTTTAAATGTTAAATTAGAATCAATTATTATACCTAAATATTTGAAATCAGATACCATTGACCGTTGTTCCCCTGCAATATAAATATTATCTGTTTACCTCTTTGTGAAGAACATGCATGCGGTTTTCTTTATATTTAAATAAA